AGGAAGAATGAATGGCATCCAGAAGTTAAGCCAGTGGGGTTCTTATGCCTCTGAAACATGAGAATTTATAGCCATTATTAATGTGGTTTTTTACTCTATTGAAAGTAGGAATAGCCTTTTGATCTGAATAGAGGTAGTCACAGGAAGTTACACAAACTATCTACACATGTGGTTTTAAAGTACTGATGCATTTCACTAACATGTTACTCTAGGTTCCAAATTAAGCCATGTACTATGGTGCTTGGTTGGCAATTTCCTCAAATCACTGAAGTTTCAGTCAGCAGTGAGCTTAAACTAGGTTCAAACCAGCTTGATTTGACAAATGCCAGTTAATACACTTAGGGCCTTGGGGTACAGCCAAAATGCCTCTGTTTTGTGGCATGGAGTTTGTGTGCTGTACATGTGCCAGTGAAATCACTTTCTATGTTAGAAGTACAAATGTGCCTTAGGCTGTCCTCCACGGTTTTCTCTTCAATGTTGCTGGTTGTTATTTGCAACAGTGCCTTCAGCAGCATTGCCTCAGGCTGTAAGGAGTATCAGAGCTTCAAACAAATTAGTCATTTTAAGTCTTGTGGGGTTTGGTTCATTTTGTTTTCCAAGAGCAGGACATCACTCCCCTTTTGCTGTGGCTGAAATCCAGCACCTTGATTGCTGTGCATTTCATGTATCTTGACAAACTGTGTGAAACCACTGTGCAAAAGGATGAGTGACTGAGTGTGTAAATATATCAGTGAGTGAATTCATTATGGAAAGAAAACTAACGAAGGAAGAATTTTTTTTTCAATTGTTTTAATAGAGCCAAAAATACTTTTTTTGCAAAATGTTGCTTCTGGGACCTTGCCACTGTGTTGGGAAGCTTGCCAGGGAGCAGGAGGGCAGGTGAGTGGGTGAACAGACAGAAACTTAATGTTTCCTCTGTTGTGTTTCTTTTAAAAGGGAGGATTCTATCAAATTGAACTGATGTATAAATTATTCATTGAAACTTAGTACCCCAATCTGAATCTCACTGTAATCTCCACTTTTTTTTTTTCTCCCACTTCAAACAGAGATTTCAATTTTTTAAACCTGAGGAGCAGCTTGCAGCTCCCAATGGAAGAATATACAGGGACCCTACATTAAACTATCTTGTTTTTGTCATGGGAATGCCCAGCTGTTTCTGGACACTGGGCTTATGTAACTTGTGTGAAGTTGGGCAGAATTCCACAATCTGATAGTTTTTGGGGGAGGTTTAGCCTGGAGAGTCCTACTGTTCTTCCCCTGATGTGTGAGGTGCTTGGCAGAGTTATCCTGCCGCACACTGCAGAAGGAAGGAGGGACGTGTTGTGCACTATGCAACAGACCACAGTTATTCACAGATGGAAAAAATCTATGCTTCTCACCAAGCTACTTAAGAATTTTCTATTCAGTGCTGCTGCTTTAGTCTTTGGAGATCAAAATAATGCTGCAAACTGAATTACTCTAAACTGCTGTGGCATGCAGCAACCTGTAGAAATGCTCTCTCCAAGCTCATAAGACATGCTGCAGTCATTTCTAGAATCAAGAGAAAATCAATACTTTGCAGGGAGTGAAATCTTATTTTTAAAAAAGCAGAGATGGGTTATTAAGGGAGGCAGCACTCAGTTTTGCTACTGGGTTAGTGGTGTCAGATCTTAGGCTGCTGTTACATCTGGACACTGAGGGTTGGCTTTGTGAGACGTGTAAGAGAGGAGGCGGGGAGGGGAAGTGTGGGGGTTTTAGTTTTGTATCCAGAATTGTAACTAAGATCCATCTGTCCTAATTATCTTGAAATGAGGGGCAGCTTCTTCCTGTGTCGTATTATGTCCCATTTAATTCGGTGACAAAGTTGTTCCATCTTGGACTGGCTTCCAGTATTTATGAACAGGAGTAGGGCTGTTTGCACATCAGTGCAGCAATGACAAATGGGGAGATGGTGCAACACCTGCTGTAGGTTTTACTAAAATCCCTGCTGGTTTAAATCAGGTGCAATCTCTCCATGGACTTCACCTGGGCCGTGTTTTGGGAAAAGATCACTACTCAGCTCTGCTAGGTCTAAAACACATCTTTTCTGTTCTTGTCTACCATCTATTGAATAAAGCAGATAAATATTCTTGCTAGCACCGGCTGCAGCTGCTGCAGAACCTGGGAGGCTTTGCAAACAATCTTGTATACACCACTGTATCCATTACAACAGGACCACTTTAGAAATCCAAGGCACAACCTCCTGTGCTCAGTCATCTCCAAGTTCCTTACATTGTACTCCCTGGGATAACATTGCTGTGGTTTTTCATTCTCCATCCTTTTAAGCTCTGAAAAACCAGATTCTAAAATCTTAATGCATATTAACTAATCTCAAACTGCCAGCAGTGTTTGCCTTTACTCTGATTCTGCCTCTGCACTGGAAGTGAGTCCCCTCTAGTCTGCCCTAAAGAAAATACAGAAAATACAAAAGCTGTTCTGGTTGCTTCAGCTCAGAGGCTGAAGGCATAAGGTCTAAAGCAGAAGGACATTCTCCTTCTGTCCTACCAGGGCTTTTAAGGAACTAGAAGGCCATTTCAAAGCATTTTGGAATAAAACGTATTTTGCTGATCCCCAGTCCCTGGAACCCAGTGGGAGCCAAGAGCAGCCAATTTCAGGTCCAGCTGTGCTGTGTATTACATGTGGAATTGTCTAGAGATAATTTTTCTAAGGTATGCAGACACCTAAGGAACAAGTATTATTTCAAGGGACTAAATCAGAAATGCAAAGCTTAACCATAACAGCAGTCTGCACATGCTGTGGTCTGTCCTAGGTTTTATCACTTCCAGTGTTCCATTTTGATTCTCTCATGTTTTGGGCTTATTGTCCCCTTGAAGGTCACCCACATCTACCTTTGGGAACATGTTTGATATTTCTCTGAAGACATCCAAGCAGTTTCTTACTGTTCCACTTACCTGCCTGCTTTACTAAACATATGTTTCAGTGCAGGTGGCTAAGCCCACTGGGGTATTGCAATGTTAAATCACTGTGATAGCTGACAGAATGAGTCTCTCATCTTCCAGTTAGTGTAAGATTTTCCTTTGGGTTTGGGGTGGGTTTTGCAAGGATAAACACAAGTAACTTCTGGTGCCAGACTATTCAGAGCTACTGAAGCATTTTGCTTTAGTAGCTTCTAGACCTTTCTTTCTTTCTACCCTCTTGGCTGTTGTTTTGGGTGTTTTTGTGGGGGCACATGAGAAGCAAAGGAGGAGAGGGAAATTCTTCCATTTGCTGTCTAATAATTTTAAGATTTCATACTGTCACCCACTGCAGAAGGATTGAAGGAATAAGTGAAATTAGTATGCAAATGAAACAAGTAACAGTGACGAAATCTGTAGAGGACCCTTGAAGGGGAGTTTTGAGGAGGGGTGGTGTAGATTTTTCAGTAAAATGGGATTATTCTCTCAGCAGTACTTAGATTGGGAAATTTTCTTACAGAGTGGTATTTTTGCCCAACGCTGTATTACCAAGGTTTTTCATAAATACCAGTCGCTTTATTTCTTGAAGTTCTGTCAAATTATTTGATCCATTTCATTCACTGAACTTTTTTTGTAAGAAGGAATTTAGCTCATCTTCAAGATTAGTTTGTGATAAGGTAATTCAGACATTTTTTCTGGCTAAGCTAATGTGTTTTCTTGTTTTTCTGGAGGGTGAACCTCTCCAGTAACAGTAATGGTAGAACTTTTGGCCCTACTCATCCAGACACATGCAGACCGTAATTTCTAGACCACATCAGCTTAGACAATAGCTGAATTCCAAGAAGCAGGTCAAGCTAATCACAGAACATCCTAAGCTGGAAGGGATCTGCAAGGATCATTGAGCCCAAGTCCTGGTCATTGAGTCCAATTAATGCCCTGTCTGAAGTAATTAGTATCACCACAGAGGAATCTGCATGTGTGGCATTGCTTTTTTGGAAACTGGTGGGGAAATGATGCCCTGTGAGGAGGCCAAATGGAAGGCTGACTGGACTGGCATAATTCAGATGTATTCCAAATCTTTTATCTTCAATGACAATAGAACTACCTAATGGAGTTTATTAGATTGTGTATATTAGATTATTAATAAGTATGTTTGATATATCATGCCATGTTGACAAAAAATGCTCTGTCCACTTATTTACCATCTAGCTCTTAGTTTTGATTATATATTAATTATTTCCTGATATACTAGAAAATAGGACAAGGTGGGTTTACCAAAAGCATTGTGGTCTTGGGACTACAATGCCCCTAAAAAGAATCTTTAAGGGAAAAGGACATAGTTGTCACCATCATGTATTCAAATTTTAAAAATTCAATTTTCTTGAGACACAAATTAGCAAAGCCTTGTTCTAGAAATCTGTACAGGATTAGTTCTTCCAGTTGATGGAAATGGCTGTAATAGGGAGGCATTGATTTGCACCTACAGATCCAGCATAGAAAATGCAGAGCTTCATGCTTGTTTTACACGCCTCAGTCAGGTGGTTTGCTTTCTGAAGCTTAATTTGAGTCTCCTGTGAGCAAACAATTATTCAAAATGCAATTAATCTATTGTTATGTTTTAATCACTGTGATGGTGTTATATTTACATGTTTTTATCTAATTAACAGCTACTTCCCCATTTAAAATAAATTCAATAACCATATGTCTCTAGAAACTGAAAGGGCTAGAATGCACCAGCCTTGAGATTATGAATGAACACTTACAGCCCAGAGAGCAGAGCCTGAAACTGGGATGACTGTTGGACTTTAGTCTGTGCTCTTTGCCTTTTTAAGCCTGAGGAAAAATAAAACTGTGTTTATTGTTGTGACAGATTTCTGGAGATGTTGATGAAAAGCTATAAAATACTGAGATACACAGAACTATGAGACTTTTAAAATAATTCTGTGTGTATTTGTTTGGGTTAAAACCTCAGGGCCAGTTCTGCTCTTGGTCCAAGATGCTAAAGAGCAGAAGAACTACTCGGTCTTTGGATGTTGGGGTCATGCTTTGCACATGTCCTCCTTTCAGATCAGTGGCTGTTCACAACCTGTGGTGCCAGTGGACCCTATGGCCCCACACAGAGCCAGTGCAATGATGCCTACAGGAACTCCAAGCTCAGAGTGGTGGTGGGAGCTGAAGGGATTCTCCAAGGCATTCAGATCTGGAGAGTACCAGCAACCAACACATACAGGTAAGGGAACCGTCTCTGACTGTGGTGATATATATGTGTTTGAAACTGTCCAAGCTGCAGATACACACTAGGCATTTTTGAAGGATTACATTCAGAAGTTTGGCCACATCTGCTGGGGTTTTATTTACCACTGGCCTTTGATTTCCAGTCTCTCCCATCTCAGATTTGTTCGCTAGAAGATGCAAGTTTTTTGGTGAAAGAGAAGAAACTTTCTGAGGCAGGCAAATCTTTAGCCTAAATGGCTACAGGTTGGGAGAGCTCTATCAGTAGCTGAAAATGAAGCATTTTTACCTCCTCAGACTAAGAGGAATGCATCTCCCATTTGTCATTCATTGAGCCCTGGGATTTGAATGAGTTTTTCCTGCCCTCTACTTGGAGTGGAAGGCACAATCATGTGTCAGAATTTCTTAAAGGACAGCTTGCATCAACCTCTGCTCAGCTTCTCCACTTTTTTGAATCTAGACACAGCAAGTTGAGCTTGTAAGCCTGGCTTACCACAGTAGAATTGATTTTGGAAGCCAGCCACCTAAATGGTAGGCTCTGTGATACTGAGGGTTCTAACTCTTAAATCCCCCTGTGGAGTTATTTTCAAAGAGAGATGATCAGATACTGTTCAATGCTACTTAATCAGATTTTTACCAATCATTTTTTCTTTTTGCTCTTGCTGGGGAAAGAAGTACAATCGAAGTGTAGTTCTCTGTATCTGAATGGTAACATGAAGCCATTACATGCATCATTTTGTAAGCAGAACTCTCAGTTTGAACCAGTGACTGTCTAGTGGTGGTTTTTTCTGCAGCATTCCATATTGAAAACAGTGATGGAATCTTGGATTTCAAAGCAAAACATTCCATTGAAGGCTTTGAACAAATTTCAGTTAGAGCTTTCTGATCCCATCTTTTTTTTCCCTTTATATTGAATAAGAATGTTAATGATAAGGCTAGAAGTCAGTCTCTTAAAGAGGCCTAGGGCAAAGCAGTTTTGAGACTGGCTAGGCTAGGCACAAGTTCTGCCTGAGTGCCTATTCCTACAAGGATGGATGGTAATGCAGAAAGCATATTTTACCCAGCTATCAACAAGGAGTTGCCTGAGGTGAATAGAATTTTTCAGAACCAGCATCCAGTAAATATGGTTATAAAGTACAGCCCAAAAATGAACAGGCCAAACAGCCCAAAAGCTTTACAGCACTGTCATTTCTTTAATATCAGAATCCAAGAAGAGCCAGAATTCCTGTGCAACAGTAAGTTGTTTTTTTGCTGCACAATACAAACCCTGGGCCCTGCAGGGGTGACCTGTCTATTTAATTCCTGTAAATGACCTAACAGATTTTAGGTTCTGTATAGATAATAGATGTATAATGTCGTGCATAACATATATATATATAGGGATGACATTCTCTTCTGCACCTCTTAAGGCTGTAGTAGAAAATTCACAGCCTGGGGAAAGCAGGAGGCAATTGTGGGCTTAAATTAACTTGACATCTTCCTGATTCTGGTCTGCTGAAGGGGAAGCAGAGTCCACCAGCATAGGATAGCCCTAGGAAAATGTCAAGTTGCAACATCAATTCCAGGGCTTCCCAGAGTCTGGACTTACTGCCTGTGTTCAGCTCTGCCCTGCGGTCCTGCTGCAGTGTGGGTCCTGTAAGTTTTCCTGATGGGCACTGCTGAAACACCTGATCCAGGCAGAAATCCCTCCTGCTGTCTGCAGGGCTCTCAAGAAAGCTGATGTTCTGCCATGTCAGTGCTTTATACTGTGTAATGTACACTCCTGGTAATTGCTCAATAAGGATATTGATTTTGTGAACATGAGGCAGAATATGCATTATTAAAATACAGACAGCTCAATTATGCACAAAACTCCGCCAACACAAACCAACCACACCCATAAAACCCCACTAGCTGTGAAGGTCTGAGTGGGCTGCCACACACTCTAGTGCTGACATCTGAAAACTGGAATTTTACATGCTCTGGTTCACTCCCATGGGACTTCACATTGTGTAACAGTGAAGTTAAACATTATAAAAGAATATTTTTTGTTTCAGATTTTCTTCTAAACATTCAGAAGGTCTGATTATCTAGGTCTTATGAGCAAGTATGAGAGGAGTGGACTGTAATATATTACACATTACTATCCTTTATATGACTTCTTTCCATCTTTAAAGGAAGAAGTTTAGGTCCATTTTGCTGAGTGCCCCATTTGAGGTCACTTCTACTGTCCTCTCTTCTCTATGGTCCCTTCATTTAAGGTGGCTCAAGAACACAGCCAGTGGTGTGCAAAAAACTGTCATTCAGAGTCAGCCAGCCTAGGCACAGCATTTCCTCATGCTCTCAAGACTAGCTTGAGTTTTTCCCATGACCTGGATATTGGGGTACGTGTTTTTCTCCAGCCGTGGTTTGCGCAGCCTGGTTTGCACTCTGCACATCCTGACCCTTCCTGAAGGTGTGGGCTTCTTTTTCAGATCCCACAAGTGTCATAGTAAAAGAAAAGAAGAAAGGCAGTGGAAGGTACTCTATATTCTTGCTCTGGATGGGCTGAACCTTTCTTCAGGGCCAGTATGGAAGGCTTCCTTCCTTCTGTAAAAAAAAGGTGGTCCTAATGAAAGAGATCCTCTTAAAGTTTGAAGTCAAGATAACTGTTTAAATAGTGACACCCATTTTGAATAGGGAATGACTGTCACCTGAATATACTTGGTTTTATTTGTCTTCAGCCTTTGAATGAGGCCAGTCTGGGTTTCCTGAACTTTCCAATATCACTGCTTGTATGCAAAATCTGTTCTTACATGGAAAAGTATGGCCCCTACTGGCAGCCAATTAGTCCTGCCAGCTTGCTGTGCCTGGTAGTGCACCTCATTAGCCATTGCAAAATTCCACAGCAAATCAACTCAGTCTTCAGATTCGTTCAGCATCTGTTCGGTGTGGCCCAGTGCTGTGTCCATCACTTTTTCTGCTGGCTCTGGTACAACCTAACTGAGGACTGATTGCTTTGGTTATCAGCAGTGGCATGAACATAATCATGTCACATTGCCAAGATCTAATATGCTTTATGAGAACTGCCTGTTTGCAGGCAGGAGTTTGCTGGGCAGAGAGAAGCCAGGTGCTGGAGGAAAGGAGGTGTTAAAGCAGAGCACCTAAGCTGTGCCTGGTAGGAAGCCGAGAGCAATTTTTGATTTCTGAGTCCTGCAGTCTGTGGTTACGTGCTCCAGGTGGAATTCTGCTCTCCCAGAAATAGATGGAAAGTTATTAATGTCAGTGGAGAATTGCCTGCTTATTTCAGATCTAAACTGAGTTGCTGTACCATCATTCACCTGCTCAGAAAGTTGAGTAACTCTGTGTTTTGTTGCAGCAGAAATGTTTTATCATGATCTTTAAAAAGTGCTTTGAAGTCCTTTGCTAAAAGCTGCTTTAAGTATGTCCATTGTTAGGAAGGGAGAGGGAGGAGCTGAGAAATACAGTGTTACAGCCACATCTTTAGGTACACCAGCAACAGTAAGTACCTCTGGATCTTGACTGTTTAAGATAAAAATCCCAGAGCCTCAACTGAGACTGCAGCAGCCTGTGTGTAACCTGCCCATTCCAGAATGAGGTGTTCCTGATCACCATGAGTTCAGCCAGGGGGCTTTACCTTCTTTGTTTACTGCAGGTAGTGTCATTTCCATCTACTTTTCTTTCTGTATTCCTCTGGTCATGGGAATAAGAGAGCTGTTTTCCATCTGGTCCATGCTACCAGGACCAGTTATGCTGTCTGCTTTCTCAAAGTCTCCCTCTGTCAATCTCATGCTTAATGTTCTCTTTAGCCATATGTCCTATTTTTACCCGTTCTTCTCCTTCTGTTCTTTCTCTTCCTTGCTTCAAACTTCTCAAGCATGTGCCTTCTGGGAAACAAGATGTGTTTCATATATTAAAACTAGAAACTGTAGGGACTTGCTTACTCTGTTCTCAGCAGTGTTTGCCCAATAATCAATGTGAAAGAATCTGTTTTGTAGCTACCCGAGCTCACAGATTCAAACAGAGCAGATAAACAGTCTTCGGGCTTTGGGTTTAGATTTATTTAGAATGTCAGGTCCTCAGAGCTCAGCTTTGTGTACATCTGGTGTACAAAAAGCTTAGTGCTCAGAAGTGGTTTGTGCTTCTTTCCACCTGTCTGGGACAACTCAGGTGGCAGCCTCTTGTTTTCTTTTTTTCTGCAGCATCTCAGGCTATGGAGCTGCAGGTGGGAAAGGAGGGAAGAACACCATGGTGCGGTCCCACGGAGTGTCTGTGCTGGGAATTTTTGACCTCCAGAAGGATGATACACTGTATATCTTGGTGGGACAGCAAGGAGAAGATGCTTGTCCTAGTGTAAGTGATTGCCTTTCTTATTTGCTTTCATCCCTTCTAGGAATCCATGGAGTTTTGTCTTTTCACACAGAAAAATATTGTCCTCAAGGGGTTTTGGGGCTACAGGAGTCAGGAACTGTTATAGTTTTACTTGAACACCATGAGAACATGAAGCACCATGTCCCTCTGCTCTCTTCTTTTCAACATTTGGGTACCATTACACAACAGGTGTTGATATTACACAGCAGGTTCCTGACTGATCTGAGTTTCTCAGAGCACATGTGTGGGGACTTGGAGACAGAAGACAATCCTGCTTTCCATTCCTCTGGAGATGAGTCTTCAAGGCTGACTTTGAAGGGTTTTGCCCTTGTTCCACTAGTGAGCCCAGCCCTGCCATTATGATATGCTCTGCACCTCTAGAGATACCCACATCACAGGGCCTGCTTGGTTATTCTCCATGTAGGAATAGGAAAGGCAGATCAATCGTTGTTGGGTTAGCCCTGATTTCTATGTTATTAACCAACCCTTGCTGCAAATGTCTGGACAGAAAGATGGGCACTATCTGCCTGCACAGTAGTTTATTCATTGTTTGGAGGAGGATGTGGGAATAGGACTCTCTTATGGAAAAAACTAAGCATTATCTGATGAAATTTCACCTACAGGTTTGAGCTGGACATTTAAATGATGTGCATTTCTCAGCTGTTAATGGCTGGCATCCAAGAGATGAAAGCTTAGCAGTCTGTTAGAGCAGAGAAAGGTTGAAGGATATAGACAAGTAAGAGGGGTTCTCAAGGCTGCTGCTGAAGTAAATAATGTTAAAACTAGAATTACACATCTCTACAAACAAACCATTAATATAAAGCCTTTTTGAAATGAGAAATGGCCTAACTCAAACGTCCATCCAACGTCTTTAACTAGGACATTCCAGCTGAGGGTAATATATGGACTCATTAAATTGCAGGCCACTGTAATCTTAGTGAGAATTTATTGAGGGCTAATGTAATTCTTTCATTGAGGCAAAGAGATTGCATTGACTCGTAGAGGGGACTTTTACTAGATTGGATTGTAATCAGTTATGTCTTTGCCATGAAGGATTATATTTTTTTGTAATCTAGTGGTTCCTTTGGGTCATTGATTTTGTCATTTTATTAATCATTCCCACCCAACTCCAAATCAATTAAGGAGAGGGAAAAAAACAGGGAAAGAAGGACTGTTAGTTCTTTAGGCAAGGCACACATAAAATTAATGCTGCGCATTCTGTGGCTCAACTGAGAAGATATTTTGTGGTCAGCAGAATAATTTGGAATTTGAATATGGTTTTATCAGGTTCTTATTCCAAAAGAAAACACATGCATGAAAGTAGAAGGAAGAAGAAGGTCAATCCTACTATAACAAATGTTTGTGCATTTTCCCCTAAAAGTTGGTTTAGTAGGTTCAATGTGCAATATATGTGCAATATAACAAAATAGTGTTACTGAGACAAAACCTGTAAAATAAAATAAGCTAGATACAAAGTTTGAAACTTGAAAATGGTCACAGAAGAGTCCTTGTCATGCACTTTAGTGCTCCAATTTTAAATCAAAAAAATACTTAGGTCATAGTCCTGAAGCAGCTATAAATGGTGGTTTAATGTTGTGATTGAAATCAGTTAGTGAATTCAGGGATTTACCTAGTACAGAAAGTTCACTATGTTCAGTGATAATTGATGGAAAGGAAGAAATGCTAAGTAGGAAATGTGGAGGATTTTTAGTGAGGTATTTTCATTAACATCAGGGAAACATTGCAACCCAAAGGTGGGTTTGCTGCTGTTTTGGTAGATACTGGTAGTTGCAGTAAAATTGCTTTTAAAATCAGCAGCACATTGGCTACTTAGCCCCAACCAACAGAGGGCTGGAAACAGTTTGAGGTAAACAAACCTGGGGTTTCTCTGTCTCTGCCATTTGGCTGTCATGTGACATGGGACAAGACACATCCTTGCTGAGTTACTCCCTTCCTCCACTTATGAAATACAGACTGTTAATGCTGGGAAACATTTGCAGCTACATTTTATGGAGCTGTTTTACATGATAATACCATGTAAAACATGACGTGATTTTACATGGTAATAGGTATCAGCACTGAGCTTGCTTCAAAATAATTCAATTAAAGGTTGAGGCAAAAAGCAGATTCTTCTAGAAGAGCATTCACTTGGTTCTGGTCACATAGTTTCACTGGAGGACAATTTCTTGCTTTGGGACAGTGAAGGGTTCACGAGGCCTCCTTGTGTACAAGGGCATGGAGGTTCCTTAGCTGAACTCACATCTGGTCTTCTGCTTGCAGACTAATGATGTTATTCAGAAAGTCTGCATTGGAGAGAACAACGTGATTGAAGAAGAGATCCGTGTGAACAGAAGTGTCAATGAATGGGCAGGAGGAGGTGGAGGCGGGGGCGGTGCCACTTACATATTTAAGGTATGGAAACACAGTCCCCATGACCTCCAGCATCAGCACATCCTGCCACCTGCCTCTGAAAAATCTTTTATACACCTCAGGGAGAGGGTCCACAGAGTGACCTCTGAGTATCCTTAATTTCCACTTGAAAGATGAAGGGATCTGACTTGGCCCTTCACACTTCTTTGAACTGCTTTGCAATATGGCCACACTTGCTTCAATGGCTTGGAGAATCCTTTGCAAACATAATGGGTAGAACTGGGTTAGGGTTTTTTTTATAAAAACCGAGATGCAAAAGAATAGTTCTACAGCAAAAGGCAAATTCTGCAGGACTTCATTCAATTCTGCCATAGTAGAATGTGAGACTTCAGCTACACATTTGGCCTGACAAGGAAAGTTGAGGATGGCCTGTACGTTTTCTGTTGGCAGTCCTGTAGCTGCAGACCACTGGTGTTTCCTGTCCTGTGCTAGCTGAGACAATACTCATTCCAAACACTGGTTTCAGGCAGTCCTTTGCCAGAGGAGACACTGTGCAGAGCAATGCTCCTTAGCTGTTTCATTTGATAAGAGTCATCACATGGGACATTACAGGCTTTCTAAGAGTCATCACCATAATAGATACAGTTCATAGAGCGACTGACACTGCTGTTTCCTGTAGCAGAACTTGGTAGGACTATTCTTTAATTTTCTATCCATTAAATTTCTGGGTGTGGGTGCATAAATAATGCAATGGCCCTAGATGCCTGCTTGATGCAACATGCCATAACTGTCATGTGGCTGAACTTCCATTTACATGTCTGACTCAGTTTGAACATTGCCTTTATTTCTGAATTTGTTAAGATGGAGAACGGAGAACCGGTCCCCTTGATAATTGCAGCAGGGGGTGGTGGCAGGGCCTACAGGGCCAAAACGGACACATTTCATCCAGAAAGACTGGAGAATGATTCCTCTATTCCAGGGTTGAATGGAAATTCAGGAGCTGCAGGTAAGAAAAGTTTATTCCTTTTAAGAAAACCTTTGTGAGTATGTGGTACTCCCAGATTCCTCCTCCTCACAAGAAGGTGAGGCAAAACTGAAAATACAGTTCAGGGGAGCAGAGGATTATAACAGATGCAAATAGAAGGTACCCACAGTGCTGGATACTTGGCATAAATAAGGATATCAGAGATGGTATAGCCACAGTAATGGCAACATCCTCCCAAAATAATGTAGTACCTTTCATAAACAAAGTTGTTTGATTTTTGATGCGGGAGTTTGCAGTGCCAATGTGGCTGTCCTGCTCCCTGCACTGTTTTGTGCTGTGTGGACATACTCAGTTTCTCTGGCTTATGCAGAAAGACCATAATTGCACCATGTCTAGAAGTCTCTGTGAAGAGACCTTAGACTAAGCAACCAGCAGAGCTGAAAGTCAGTCACTGGTGAGTATGTTATGTGGAGAGCAGGAGTGGAAATGTTTTCACACCCCTTTCAATAAATTCAGTTTGTTCTAATTTAGAACTGACATTGTTTTTTTACAAAAGTATTTTATTCAAGGAAAAGAGGAAGGCTCTGTAAACCAGCAATAAGTGGTTGGAGAGTAGGTAGGGTTATCTTTTTACATTTTCTATATAAAATACTCGTCCTTGTATGGTAGGTGAACAGAGGTGCAGGTGATGACGTTCAGCTGAGCTGTTTGGAACGGATGCTTGTCCTGCAGATCCCTGCAGCGTTTATTACACAAAAAGTAACCCCTGGCTGTCCCTTTTCTCTTCTCTCAACTGCAGGTGGTGGAGGTGGCTGGAATGATAACACTTCCTTCCTGTGGTCAGGAAAATCCTTGCTGGAAGGTGCTACTGGAGGAAGATCCTGCCCCCAGGCCATGAAGAAGTGGGGGTGGGAGACAAGAGGGGGTTTCGGAGGGGGTGGAGGGGGGTGCTCCTCAGGTGGAGGAGGCGGAGGATATATAGGTAAAGTGGCTTCGTGTTCAAGGTGTCCCTTCCCCTCCTTTAGTGCTAATGATCAGCAAAATGCTGATGATAACTCTCCTGTAGCTAGCATATTTGACTGTTATGTACTAGTATGTCTGTGTGTTGCCTTTTTAGCACTAGATGAACTTATGGCATTTAGTCTTTGAGCAAAGAGCCAGATGCCAGTCCTTCAGCTGCAACCCTGGCTTTGTGCTCTGAAAAATGTGACATTAAGGTCCTGCTGTGATTCATGAACCTTTCATGTTGGGGTGGCAGTGGTGGAGAAGGAGGAGCCACAACAATGTGCTCCTGTTGCCTGTGTTTGGAGGACTTTGGTCCTGGAAACTGGCAGCCAGGCTTTATGCCAGGGGAAAGACACAGTTTCTCCCCTGCCCTGCCTTGGTCCTGCACAGGTGGTCTCTGGGGGCAGAGGCTCAGGCTGCCAGCCAGCACCCTTCTTAATATGACTTCAGTCAACAAGGAGCTAATTTCATGTGCCTCTGTGTCTCAGGGCAGCTGTCAGATGGCATTATGTTGATTACAACTGGTGTGGACCAGATTCAAGATCTCTACTAACCCATAGTCTCCTGGACCACGTAGTTTTTGCAGCCATCTGTGCTGTGGTGGACTCTTTAACCCCTGGTTCTCCACAGCTTAAATTAAGTGTATGGTAGACTGGAAATCTTGAGAGGAAGTAATGAGTTTAAATTATTAAGTACATGTTTTGTACCAATGTTCCTGCATAATGCTTTTTTTCCCAACAGAATAATTCACATCATGTTGTTTTTTTTTTTTATTTCACTGAAGACAATTAAAGGGAAAAAGCTATTTTTTGGTGGGGTGGGGGAATTGTTGCATGCTTGAAGTACAAAATATATGGCCTATACTGTGTTTCTAATATTTGTTATATATTGCCCATACTTTGCTTCTGGTGTGTTCTATATGCTCAAGCACAAATGAGCAACTCATAAATTCCTTCAGTCCTCACTTCTGGTGGACCACCCTTCTTTTAGGGTGCAAAGGAGAGCAAGGATATCAGGTTATTCATTCCCTCTGCTGAGACTGTACATACCTTGATCAGCAAGGGTACTAACTTAGCCCTGAAGTACTGGTGCTTTCCAGTCTCTTGGCTACATAAATTTTAAGAAGGACTTGTATGTTTCACAGCATATCCAAATGGTTAAAGATGAAGTTTGTGCCTTAGTTTGCAACAGTCTACCTAAACACGGCTAGTTAATTGATTGTCACAAGCTTCTGTAATTTAAGTTCTAGTCCAGTAGTTCATGCCACAACTTGCTAAAACTCCCTATATATTAAATGCTTTAATTTTTCTCTTTTTTTCATTTGGATGCCTCCCTAAATATGCTGAATTCATGCATGTTGCTATGTTTATCTGTGTTTTATTGTTTTATGAGCCTTAGTCTGTTAAGGTAACTTCTGGTTTGACATAGGTGGCAATGCTGCAGTGGACAATGACCCAGAGATGGATGGGGAGGATGGTGTGTCCTTTATTAATCCAATTGGTACTTTATACACCCCAGCACTTAAAGGTATTCATATTGGTCAGAAGTCTTCTCGTGGGCTTATTTCATTTTAAAAATAGTAGGACCCCTTACAACCTTTTGGGATACAGCTCAGTGTCATGAACATGAGGAGGCAGAAAGTATACAGAGTACAGTAGAGAATAGACAGAAGTAGCAGGAAAGAAACAGAGAGGAAACATCAAGCCTATTAGGAAACACTCCCAGCGGTACAGTCTACCAGCCTACAGAATAATTTTTGGACAAGGAAAGTGATAACAGAACCTCATAGCTCAGATACTTCAGGAAAGAAACAGACAAAACACCTGACTATTCACTTGAAAGTTCCTTAGAGCATCCCTTGGTAAAATATCCAAGTGCTGCCCAGCAGTGCATGGAAGTGATAAATACTGCCACGCCAACCTGTGTTTTCCTAGAAATCAATGTCTTTAATATGTTTGCAATGTGTTCAGAAAACAACAAAAAAATCTTCTTGTTAAAAAAACCCAAAAATGTTTGCTTTAGAAAAGCCAGAAGTATTTTGAAATACAGATGCACTCTGGTCTGGTAGATTCAGCCAGAAAGTTTTGATATTGCAGGGATTGCTCTTGAAGGGAGTAAAGGCTGGGAAAGAAAAGGGTGAGCCCAAGAAAATTATGAGAATGGTCTTTACAGTAATTAACTCAGCTTCTTCATCCACTCCCTAGTGACAGAGGGGCATGGAGAGGTGGAAATTAGGCTGCACCTTAACTGCAGTCACTGTGAAATGGACGAGTGCCATGTTGATCTTGAGACTCAAAAAGTCATTTGCTTTTGTGAGCCAGGCACAGAGTTGGCTGAGGATGGTGTGTCTTGCACAGGTGAGTAGGTGTGTGGGGTACTGCTGACATGTGGGACAGAAAATGCATGGCCAAAATCTGTAGTTTGGACTGTAATCCATCCTGAAAGTGCTGTCTAATCTTTCTTAAACCTAGTTGCAGTTGAATGTTGTCTTCTTTCTTGCTGGTGTATGCTGCAGAGCTATTTTGCCAGGATACAGCCTCATCAATGCTGAGGACTGGGGCACTGAGCAGCAGTGCTGCTTTGCTCCACAGTGTATGTTTGGTATTCCAGGCAGATCTGAGAAGAGTCAAATTTTGTGCCAGCTTGTGCTGGTGTTCAGCATCTGCTCTGAAATCCTAGAAGTTTGCTTGCTGAAAGAATTTTCCAGCTGAACTTAAATTCCAGCCTCGTTCTCTAAAGAACAAACAAACAAAAAGAAAAAAAGTGCAAGGTGAAGGAAAATATGATTCCTGTGGATTTGGACGCTTAAGGTAAAACTTCAGATGCTGTAAGAAATTCTGTGCAAGATTTCTCTGAGAAAAACAAAATGCAGTGCCTGTACTTGCCTTTATCTCAAAACGAGGTGCTCAGAGCTCTCTTAATAGGTTTGCTTCATATTCTTGTGCAGCAGTTAGAGCAGGTCACCCCAGGGGTTTGGGATCCTGCTTTCAGCTTTGTCACCAGTATGGGAAAATTGTTGTGTTTTTACCATTCCTGCCTGTAAGATGGATAAAAGTATGGTCATTTTGTCAAGGTGAAGTAAACCTTAATAGCACGATCCCACATGAGGATGCAGCTTCACTACACTGTTACCAGGGTTTTCTGCCTGGATTACATGCATTTAGGAGATGATATATTGCAGTCCTCCTGCTTTTGCTGTGATTTGGCATTGATAGCAGCACTTTAACCCTGACAATGTAATGTTCTTTCCACCCCCCCCCAAACCTCCTGCCCCTGATTTTTATGGTCTTGTTTTCACACCCAGGGAGTTCACATGTTAATTCATTGATAGTGAACCATCTGTTTTAATGGCTTGATATTAATTGAGGAAAGTGAAACAATGAGGTATGAGAAGTCATAGATCCTGAGAACTGGTCATGCCAGAGGTTGCTCCTACGCTATTGGAGCAGCAGATGAGTAAATGGAAGAGCAGAAAACAATTTGATGGCAAAAAAGTGGCTCCTGGAAGATAATTTCAGATATTAATTCTATCTCCTGTTTCTTCTTATTTCTGTTGCAGCTGAGCCAGTAGTTCGTCTCCCTTTCTCCTTGGTCTTGTCTGTAGTGACTTCAGCATTGGTGGCTGCTTTAATTTTGGCTTTTTCGGGAATCATGATAGGTGAGTGTTTCTCTGCAAAAGATATTTTCATATAAGGGCTGGATCTGAGCCAGGGATAATTGGGCCCTGAGAGGCAAAAGGATTCAGGTTTTCAGCTACTGCTGTATTTAATGACACCTTCCCACACACAACTTCAGATTTCTGTAGTTGTTTCTAACCACAATGACCAATTCAAGGAGGCTTCAGTTACTGACTGCATCTCAAAAGAGACATTATTGTTTGTGTTACACTGTGAAGCTGCCAGAACACAGCTGCTTCTGGTTTTGTGAAATCTGGTGCTGTTTAATACCTAAAAGCTTCTTTATTTGTGTTCCTGCTACAGATTTCACCACTTAATGTATGACATTTAAGCTTAAGCTCTCACATAGGTTCCCCTTTCACAAACTGCTACTTAGTAGGATGTGGGTATTCTTGGCATTTTTGTTGGAAATTCTAAAAGGCATTTTTCACCTTTTTGTGTTCTTGTTTTAAACCTGCATTTGGTGCAAGCAGAATAGATTTGAATCAATGAAAAGCAGTCAGGGGTTCAAACCACGGCATTGCCACCTTTCTTTGTCCACACTCTATGTGTAGTCTGGGGGAGGAGAGGGATGAACCTAGAACAGGAAATTAGATTTGCACAGCTGTTTCAGTTTTAAGAATTTCAGGAGTTATCAGTTACACACACATGGTCCTACATCTGTGATTTCTGTCCTGACCGTACCTTTTTACAATGACTAAATACTTCTGAGGAGTGGAAGAGTAATCCTCTTTCCATCCAACGAGCCTATCATTTCCATCTCAGGAAAGGGCAACGATTTAAAAAATCAAAGCAAAGGCAATGAGGAGGAAAGTGGAGGACAGGAAGGGTTTGTGGATAGGTCATTACATCCATCTACCTTTGCAAGTGCATGTTTACCCCTTAAATTTTTCCCCTGAGCAACATCTGCTGGAGAAGATGCAATAACTATTACCGTCACAGTCTCTGGGCTCAATCCAGCTCCCACAGAAATCAATAGTGATTTAACCTGCTCATGATTGTCATCTCTTTTGGAAAAAATCCTGCAATATCAGTTACTATTTCAAGGAATATCCTCAGGATGTCTTCTTTCAAGGTGTGGTTTTTAATGGCGTTGCAGAAGCATCAGTGAAGCAATGCAAGGAATATAACACTACCATAAACTGACTTCAAATATAATCTTACTCTGTTGTTTAGAAACAGAGGAAGCTTTGAAAAAAATAGCTTTTTTGTGTGTGTACAATGTGTTATTCTGAGGAAACAGTTTAGGCTATACATTTTGAACAATATGATGCAATAATTCACTGTTGCAGACTTTAGTCACTTCTGTGTGATTTAGGAAAGTTGGTTATACCCCAGCTCCCGCAAGTTTCAAACTGAAGTTGTATTTGGAAGGTCTGGTTAAACTGAACAGAGCAGAACAAAAAGATCAGAACTGTGAACTCTGAGATCTCTCCAAGTGAAATTCATTTCACTTTTTCCAGATGATAGTCCATGAGCAATCCTGTTTCTTCATAAGATGTGTAAATCAAAGGTTCCCGGATATCTTCAGATCCCATTTTCTATCTGTAGTTATTTGATGTACAGAAATATGCCAGTGTCACTGGCTGGTTTGATTCCCTGAAGTCTGGCCACACCACAGTGAATCCCAGTGAGAGAGAGGGTCTGTCACGAATCCAGTCTCTGTACGTGGTTAACTGTGTTCTCCACATTTAGTGTACCGCCGCAAGCACCAGGAGCTGCAAGCCATGCAGATGGAGCTGCAGAGCCCAGAGTACAAACTGAGCAAGCTGCGTACCTCCACCATCATGACAGACTACAACCCCAACTACTGCTTTGCAGGAAAAACCACATCCATTAGTGACCTTAAAGAGGTGCCTCGAAAAAACATCTCCCTCATCCGGTAAATTCATCTTTGCCTTCCCCATCCTTCACACCGTACACCCACATATCCTGGCTCTCCTAAGAGGTGTGAGCACACAGCTTTGTGCAGGCACATGCAAATTCTTGCCCACTTTTAGGTTCATACCGCTTTTCATAAAATGTAAAGGTGCAGTAGTTAGGCTCGTGTGGATGGGACTAGATTTTGGCATTCACCTTGACCCTCTACAGGTGCAGTGTTCATCTCCTGGGATTGTGAGGAGAACGGAATAGCCAACGCCAGTAATTCGCTTACATCTTTTACAGGCTATGCAGTGAATGGCCCATTGCCATGAGCTGATGAAATTCTGGGATGGCTGAAGCTTGTAGAAGGCTCTTTTAAATCTTTGATGGTAAATCAAATATTTGGTAAAGACAATTACATCCTTAAATGCAATAACAAGGAAAGCAATGGATTTGAAAATGCCAGACAGTATTAAAAAGTCAGGGATATAAAGCCAGCAAGATAATCACATCTAGATGAGAACTTCTGGAAAACTTAGAAGTGTCTCCTAAGAAAAACTTGAAAATTCTGAGTTCTTGCACACTTTGCTCTACTGCAGGATATTTGTGAATGTGAATGTGACAGTACCCTGGTACCATACAGTGTTACACAAAAAAAAAGTGGAAGCAGGAGTCCTTGGAAAACTGAGGAGCTTAAGGTGCTGAAAAAAATGATGCTCAGAGCAGTTTATGCAGTCTGCAATGTTTTGCTCTTACCTCATTCCCCTTTACCTGCACATCTTGCTGGACTGCACCTAGAGGTTTCCAGTGTACCCTGTGCTGCTGCTTCCTTTGTCACTTGGACTTTGAAAGGATTTTTGAATTGTGGCGATGAGATAGCAGAGGATAAAGCTGGGAACTGACAAGGGAAGAGAAAGTGGACTTTTTGGAAGGAGGGTGAGTTATGAGCTGTAAAGATCTGGTTTATCCCCTCAGTTTGTAATAGGTTGGTGAGGCAGAGCCAAGAATGGTGTCTCAAGTTGATACCTACAAAATGTTATTACACAAAGTGGTTGAGTCATAGGCAGCAGTCAATGTGGTTTCACTGCCCAGACTGATTCTATCCTGGCAAAACTACAGACAGGGCTTATGGAACAGCAGAGCAGACTGTTCTTCCTTGTTCATGTGGACAGGAGGGCAACAGCCCATGCAAAAGCAGCCCACTGATACAGCAGAGAACAGAATCAATGCAGCTCTCAGCCCAGACCTGGCTCTGACAGGAGAGTGCATCTGTAGCAGAGAGCTTTTCTGAGAGCCTTTTCCCCAGGCTGAGATAGAGGAAAGCCTCTTAGAGGCTGGAAATACTATTGCCCAATGTGCAGCCTATGCAGGGTTAAGAGAGACTCAGGATTTGGGGTGCAGCCTCATCCTCTGCCATATTTCACCATGTCATTATGACAGGCCACTGATGTGAAATAACTATTGTTATTCCAGTTGACTTAATGTTGAGAGAGTGAGGACTGAATAGACAGGTATGCAAAATCTGTATCACAAGGACATGGGACAGGATCTATTGTATGATTACTCTTATTCTATTCTCTTTTTCTTGTAATCTTATACAAAATAAAACTTCAAGTTTCATAATATGATCACTGCCAGAAACAATTCTCAGCACAAATTCCTAGAGCTGAGTGCTTTACAAAGCACTGTCATCACCATTTACTGGCTAAGGTACTTGCCCAGAATCACACAATAAATCAGAAAAAGTTACTTGGTTTAGAATTCAGGTCTTTTGAGAATCATTGTGCCTCGTAGTTTCTTGCTCTATGTTTTCTTTAATGGTGATGCAGAAATATCAGGGGAACTGCTAATGTGCTCAGGGTGTGGAAACACCAAGACTAAAGTTCTGTCTTTATTGATCTGTTTTGGAGCACCCACCACTGAGCACTGATACCAAAGCCATAGATGAGTGCTCTCTGCAATGCCAGCAGCTCAATTTCACTCGGGAATGTTCACTTCCATGGATTGCTTTCCTGTCCATGATAAATGTCCCATCCTAAATAAAATGTAGGTCCATGAAAGATCTTGCCAAGGTCTGGTCCCCTGCATATTGTCAATATCCAGTTCTTCCTGTGACTCTGCCATGAAAATTGTGAGCCGGTTCTGTGAGCTGTGTCCACAGTGTTATAATGTTTGTTCTCTCTAGTAAAACCTTCTTGTCTTCTCTGGTCTGTCCAGGGGTTTGGGCCACGGAGCCTTTGGTGAGGTATATGAAGGTCAGGTGACAGGGATCCCCAGCGACCCCACTCCCTTGCAGGTGGCTGTGAAAGTAAGTGACAGTGTATGAGTTATCACGATGGTTTCATGCACCTTTTACTCAAGAGTCCCAATGCATTTTAACAGTGAAGATGAATGAAGCATTGCTGTGAGTCCTGAAGGACGTGGCTAGAAATGCTGCTGCTCTGTTGCAGCACTTTAATCCATCACAGCAATGGTACAGCTTGTCGCATATGAGTATGTGAGACTACTCAAAAGAGTAAAAAGAGTAAAAGAGGTCTGGGAATAGTAAATAGGCAAATATTTCCCACTGTGGCAAAGAGCCACAGTAGACTGCAGAAATGAGAACTAAATCCATCCTCTGTCCATCTTCCCCAGTGGTTGGTACTGGTTGGTAATCTGACCAAAGCCTTGTAAGTCAGAGGCCAAGTAGGAGATGGCAGGTTTTCCAGAGATCTCACCACTTCCTTACAGGATGGATATGCATTGGATGTGAAGCTAAATCCTAAGAGACCCTGGTAGAGTTCTCCAGGCCTTCAGCAGTCTAGCTGGCTTGTTTTCTCATAGAGATTACATAGCAGCACAGTTCTGCTGCTGGTTATAGATCCCAGTCTTTTTGGAAGATAGGGTAATTGAACTGCAGAGAACTCAGGAACTGTGATCTCATTCCTCATCCTCAATACAACAGAGTCCCATATATTGAACTTTACTCTGTGCACTCTGGGCTATTCCCTTTGCTGGGAGGAGGATGACAGCGGCATTGATGGGCCAGGAGTTCTGATATTTACCTTTCAACAGGCTTCACAGTCTAGTTTAGCAGTACTAAATGGTTGTCTTAGAGTGAGGTTTCTTTTGAGAAAGGATTGCTGCAGACAATATTAATGCCAGGTGTTCTAACCTGTAAGTTGAAGTATCTTCTCCTTGTTAACCTGTTCCTTCTTTCCCAGACATTGCCAGAAGTGTGTTCAGAGCAAGATGAGCTCGACTTCCTCATGGAAGCTCTCATTATTAGGTGTGTATGAATCACATGAACACCATTTGTGTAGGCTTGCAAAGCCCAGCAAAATAAAGAAAAAAGTTTCTTCACAGGTGGTGTCCTCTCAGCACATCTATGCAGTAGTTTTAGCACAAAGAGAATACACATTACCATCCTTTTCTGTTCTTCTTACAAATGAATAGGCATCAAATGATTAAAGGCTAAATTTTCAAAAGGGTCCACATTGGTTTCCATTACCCAAAGTGAAAAATTTAAAGCCCAAATTTTAGAATTGATAAGATATTATTGATTTCTTTTGAGAGGAGAACATACCTTAGGAATTTGGGTTTGACTAGTCAAAACCACCAGATGACATTGACTTTATGCTGCTGTCATACCATGTGTCAGTGTCTGAATCCCAGAATCCATGCAACTACTTTTTCCCATCATATTTGAGAGGTGGGGAAATAATGAAGTATTTGAGACTAGACCTCAAGAAACATCCCCCACAAGCAGATCCCCATGTCAGTGTGTTACTTAGAACAACATTGCCCTAGCCACACTTCTGCCTCTTGGATGGGGAAAATTACAAGTAGACTTTTCTCTGTTATCAGACATGTTCTGCTTCCTGTGCCCCACAAGTCTTGCTGTAGCCCAAAAAGAATGCAGAAAATAGGGAGAGAAAAAGCAGCCAAAAGCCACTGCTTCCCCACCTCCGTGTGTCCTGCAGTATCCAGACAGACACAGAATGCAGGGGTAGTGCTTTAGCTTTATCCAGTTGCCCTATCTTTGAGATTTGTTAATTTCTGGGGAAAAAAAAAAATCCCTGCAGCAAAAAGGTTTGAATGTTTTCTGCTACTGTGCTTTTTGGGTCAAAGTTGCTCCACAGCTGGGTGTCCCTATCTCCACAGCAAGTTCAACCACCAGAACATCGTGCGCTGTATCGGGGTGAGCTTGCAGGCCCTGCCCCGCTTCATCCTGCTGGAGCTCATGGCTGGAGGAGACCTGAAATCCTTCCTGAGGGAGACACGGCCCAGACCGGTAAGGAAAGAGTAAATTGCATTTTATTTAGAGAGCTGCTGCCACAAGGCAAACACTTAGCTATAAAAGAGCTGATCCATACAGATACTATTTCCCAGCCTTTTAGATGGTCACAAAATTTCTGTTGCTATAAGACTGTGGAGGCAGGAGCCAGGAGGATAGGGAACAGATGCTGCTGGGGCTATGCAGAGCTGCCTCATCCCTGGACTTTGCTAGATAACATTGCAGATACTACCTAAAGAAAGAATAAAAGCAAAGTCTAAAAAAAAAAATGTTAAACTCAACTCTTACCTTACTCTCACCAGCTGGGGGCAGGCTGGGGGAAAATATTGAGCTAGTAATATTAAAAATATAAATCCATTATTCATATTGCTGATCAGATACATTTCTGTGGATATCTGTCAATTCAAATTTGGCATAGGCAAGGAGGCAATCCAGCCTGGAGCTGTCAACTTAATAGAAAATATCTTTAGTCCAGAGTTTTAAAGATTTTCCCCACTGAAATCAGCATCAATAGGAAGAGACAGTCAGCTAGGAATGTGGAAGAAATTAATTATGACTTCTAGAGAGAATTCGTTTTTTCAGAAGAATAAAGTTTTCTCTGAGTCCGTGGGTCAGACAGTCACACAGATATTGCTGAAAGTGAAGACCAGGGCCCAGCTTCATCCTTTGTCTCTAAGTTCGACAGAGGACAAAATGCTGCATTTTATCAGTACAAGAGAGACACAAATTCGCTCTAACAGATATCAGTAAGATTTTTCCTTGAGGCATCTGGGAACAGATCAGCTTTCTTATTTTTTCCATGCAGTGTGGTTTTCAGACATATAAAATGGTCTGTGAGATTCAGAAGCACTGCAGTCTTGAATAGATTGCAGTAAAGTGGCTCCTTGATGGATAAGGAGGGTAAACACCCAGAAAGGAAAATCCGAAATCTGAGCAAGCAGACTTTATAAATACAGGTTGTTTTTCCGAAGCACCAAGAGATGCTCCTACAAATGGGCTGAACTTCGTGGTAGGTGAATGGGAAATTCATGTTTTGCAACGTGGTCTCCACTCTCACCCAGTGCAGTGTAAAATGGCTTGGGCAAGATATGCTGCCAGGTAAGTGCTGTGCTCAAAACTGCCAGGCCAGGCTGTGCAAGACGTGTGAAGAGGCAGGTGAAACAGGATGAGGTTTGGTTGCTTAAATTAGAGAAGCCAGCTCAGTGATGGTACAGATCTTGTGAGGAACTACCAAGAACGCTAGTCCTGCACAGCAGAAATTTTTACCTACTTGCAGTAAAATGAGCCAGCTGCTTTTGTAGATGAAACAGCCCTTAATCTTGATAGGATGAAGTCATGGGAGCCTTCTGATCTGAGGAGTCTTTCTTCTGTTTGGCCCTACCTCAGTCATGAGTTCATCCTTACCACGACTTCTCTTCCTGTCAGCAGTAGCTATGTGCAACCCCTGTGAAAGCCCACGTCAGAAGAGGCTGATGGTTCACTCCATTGCTTCCTTAGTATCTCTCTTTCTGCCTTCACAGTCACTCCTTCCATTCCTCCCCTTTCCTTGTCTTTCCTGACCTGTTTGAGGTTACCTGAGACTGACCATAACAACTAGCAGGCACAAGGCCAGTTCCCATCAGCTTGAAGATTCTCCCTGGTTTCTGCATTTAACTTGCTCCCACGAGTGAAGCAGACCTCGGATTGATGCCTGTTTTCTGCTTTGTCCCATGTCTTCCAAACTTTGGGAAAGCTGAACTTCAAATGCAGATGGGTAGTCGCAAGCTGGAAATGATTCAGAAAAGCAGTTTCCATTCCCTCTTTAACTGCTGGGTCAATGTGGACAGCCTGACTCTGTGCAGACACAGATCCACACGATTTTGCTCCATTCTAATACTTTCCTTCCCCTTGCCTTGCCCTGCTTCTGCAACCATCCCATGTGGTGTCTGCCTGGCAAGAATGACAGGGTAATCCATTATCTGGCTGCTGGGGCAGCTTCTGAGGGGACAATGGCACCTGTGAGCACTGAGAAATCAGCCTCTGGTGCGTTTTTGATTGCTGGCTCACAAACTACGAGGCAAGGAGACTATGACTGATGAGAAATGAGATGTGTGCAGGGCACTGTGCTCTGTGAAGTATGGGATCTGGCCCTGGAAGTGCATTTACCCTCTGCATACACTCGAGGTGTGACAGAGTCTCTGTACATAAGGCCTGTGGCTCAGTGCTAGTGGATGTATCTTTGCACTGCTCTTAATGAGCCCTGAGCTGCTTTGTTCCTCCTATTGCTCATTCAGGGAAGACAGGCAGAAGGTAGGCATGGCAGGCTGGATGTCTAGCTTTTCAGGGCCATTAAAGGAAGGGAAAGACAAGGGACAGTGTAGAGTGAAGAGGCCTTGATGAGCTTTGCATCCGAAAGGAATTAATTGAACACAAAAGCCCTGTCTGACTGACTGGGTGGCAGAGGTGCACTTCTTAATCTGCAGTAAGCACCATATGAATTACTGCCTTTCCCCTTATTTTCTTTCAACTTTTGTATTTTACAGCTAATTTCTTTTACTACCTTGTCTTTCCTACCTACTTTTGCTTTCAGCCTAATTACAAAAAAGCGATTTGTGTATTCAGTCTCTACCTTCATCCCCAGTTGCTCTTTGCACTGCCTTGCCAGTAACATCAAATTCATTTACTAATTTTGGATAGACTCAATAGAGGTGTGAAAGATATTGGCACTAATTCCAAGGCTTATGGAAGAAGAAAGCACCATGCTGGAGAGACCAATTGCCACTGGCCAGCTACAACCTGTGTGGCTTGGAAAAAGACACATGCAGCATGCTGCCATGCACTTGCACACTGAAAAGCAGGAAAGGGAGCAGAGGGAATGGTGAAGGAGAAGGTGAAGGGAAGAGGACACTTAAGGCATTGCCAAGGACATGGAATAGAAATTTAAAGCAACTGCAGGAAGTATCAGAACACGGGATCCAACTTAATGAGAGATGGAGATGAGGCCAGCACTGCTGCATATTGTTCATCTGTGTTCTTCACGTAAAAAATGAAGTTTCAGTTCAGCCAACATGTAATGATTTTTCTGGACTCTAAGCAAGAATGATAGTGTCTCCATCCAACATCACTGATACAAGACCAGTGATTCTCATGGGATATGTCAATTTATGACAGCTAGGTCCACTCCATAAGGTTCAGATTCATCATTCCCCATGAGCCCATGGTTGACAGCCCTGAAGACTTTCTCTCTTCCATTTCTAATAGAGTTTCACATCTATTACAGGATTACCTCTTCTCCCTCTCTCCAGAGAGGCAACCTGGTCGGTTCAGAGATGCCTGGAATTGGAGCCTGAGCTCCAAGTTTGAGCATAGCAGAATTTTCCATTCTGGGAGGTTCAGTGCTGATCTTTCTCACACACAGCACAACCCAGCTCTGGGAGAGAAATCATATATGGATAAATGATTTCCCTCCTTTGTGCTGTGCAGCCTGTTGCACAGAGCAGCGATTACACTGAACAATACACAGAATTTCATTCACCTTTAGCAAGATTCAGCCTCACCTGGGAGGTGTCACACCAGTGCTTCCAGCATGCCCACTGCCCTGAGCAGCAGAGCATTGCAGCTGGCATCATCCATTCATCTGGGGAACAAAAGCTGTAAAGTGAATCCTTTGGTTTGTCTCAAGGCTGCCCCCTTGCAAAATGAATCCCAAACCTCCATTTTTCAAACAAATTACATGGCTAAATTGTCCTTGGCTGGGCAGTCACATCTGTTTTAGGATTGTATTTAGCCAAATAAAAGGTGGAAGGAATTCCTCTAAGGAGTTAAAGAAAAGCAAAAAATGAAAAGGAGAAAAAAGGTATACAGTTCAAATCAGCTTGTGGCTTCAGTGTACTGACTGCTTTGCAGTATAGCTTGAGTCTGAAATCGATTGTAGAGTAAAGAATAGGGCTTTTTACTCAGCTTTCACTTCAGGTTTCTGACCCTTGCTCAAAAGAGCAGGGAACGGGTAGATTGAGATATTAATTTCCCCTTGGTTATGCCCTGCAAGGAAAAAAGAAGATGTGCATTCTTTCTTACTGAAGCCATCTTGTGTAGCTGGTGAGTCACTTTAACTCACAGAGGTAAAAGAGATTATTCCTCCTTCCCCACAAAATGGCAGGGAAAGAGCTGCTCTATGTTTGCAGAAAATAGTTATTCTGTAAAGAGGAAAGTTTAAGGGGAGATGCAGTCCAGTGTTTTAAAAAATCAGTGAAGTTTATATATATGCAATGAACTATACTGTGTAAATAATAAAATATAGGCAGGTGGAACAAGATCACATTTTGGTTTATGGCCCTACATTGGAAAAAACAGGCTTTGTTCACACGGAGATGCACCATTTTTCAATTATTTCATTAGTCAAGTATTGAGGCCAGGTTTTTTGGGTTTTTTTCCTAATACCTTCAGAGGTCATTAAGCTGGGGTTTTTTTCAAATTTTAGGGGGTTTTTGTTTGGTTTTGGGTTTTATTTTGCTTTTGTGGGGTTTTTTGTTTGTTTGGGTTTGGGGGAGATTGTTTGTTTGGTTTGGTTTTTTGTTTTACTAGCCAATGTTTAACTACTGGCTGCTGCAGAGCCTGAATTTATTTCCAGTCCCAATTTGCAGTGGTTTAGATCAGGTGGGACGGCCAGCACAGCATTGCATCCATCTGGAGACACGTTTCATTACAACAGATGGGCTGGAGAGCCAGCAGTCCCTGTGCTGATTTGTGTACTGGTGTGAGAGCCCCAAGGGCAGGTGTGCCCTCTGGGGACTAGGCTGACTGGTTGGAGTCCTAAGAGAGAGCTGAGGAGTGTGATAACCTTGTTTGGTCCAATAACTAAGGCTGACAAACACTTAGCTATGAAGTGGTTGTTGTGGCATGAGCAGTCACTGCCACCCGGTTGTTTCTCATCACTCCACTGGCAGCAGCAGCTTCCTCCTCCCCCACAGGACTGACCACAGGGATCACTGATTCACACCTCAGGGCAGCAGCTGATGGTTTGGCTTCAGGGGCTGAAAGTGCTGGTGCGAATCCTGCCCTTTCCACTAGAGCAGCTGGCTCCTCCTGGCAAGTGCTGTGGACTTCATCAGAGGGGCAGGAGCAAGGAGTTGGCAGCCTTTGTCTTCCATAGCCATTGGCTACACAAAACTGTCAGTGCTCCAAGGGGCAAGATAAAACCTACACAGATGTGGAGGAGGGAAAGAGCAAATGTGACTCATGCCATTATGCAAAATGTCATTCCTGTGGTTCAAGGTGACTAGAGAGAAGCTGGCAATAATACAAAGAAACTCAGTGAAGAACAGGTCAGGCTGCAGACCTCAAAAGTCGTGCTGGAAATTCAGAAGAATCCCATAAGAACTGGGGGAAATTCTTACAGGGGCATCCCAAAGGAGCTGGAAAGTCAGATCCAGCTGATTCTGTCTGTTGTGGTTCTTTTTCTGGGATCTGTATAACATTGTGTCTGCACATCCTTTCATAGTTCATGGGTATGAACTCTCTCTCCTGTGCATTTTCCCAATCCCTTTGTGTATTAACATCCGAGGTATGTCACTTGCTGGAGAGCTCCCAGAGATGTATCAGCAACGACTCCCACCATGTTTCTGCTTTTACCCCATGTGTGTCCCTTGTCTTTTGGCAGAATCAGCCCTCCTCCCTTTCCATGCTGGACTTGCTCCACGTGGCCCGTGACATTGCTTGTGGGTGTCAGTACCTGGAGGAGAACCACTTCATTCACAGGTAGGTGAGCACAGCCTGGGCAGGGCTTGCACGGGCTGGTAATGCCCTGCTCCATATGTTTATGCCCTGCTGCACTCTAGTGGCTGGATACCTTTAAACAAGGTAGACAAAATCAGAATCATAGAAGCAATAAGGAGAGGAGCTGCTATAAATCAGGCTCACAAAGGTCTGTAGTTTTGCCGAAGATCCTGAGCCCTGTCTCAGGGCCTGCACTTGTGCAGCCTATTTGGCTACTCTGCAAATGGACACAATCTTGTGGCAAAAGTCTTTAAAGCTCTTCCTGTCATGAATTTTATTTAGTGCCTGTCTGCTCATTTTGGAAGCCTGTTCTCCCTCTTGAAGAACACCTGTACAAGCACAGCCAGGGGGGCAACATCAGGTGACCATTGCTCCTGCAAAACAGGGTATTTGGCAAGCATCTAAAATCTGCCTGTCGAGTAGAAATGAGTAGAGAGGTGGCAGTTCACGGTTCTGAGAGTCACCCACAAGTTGTGCCATTGTGTTATTCAGACCTCAAGGTTAACTCCAGCCCAGCAGAGGTGGAGCTTGGAGCTTTACCTGCATACACAGGTTCAGGGCCATGGCTTCAGTATTCAGAGCAACAACTGTACATTGGTGTTCTGCCTGTCTCTGGCAATACAACAGCCTTTTGACAACACTTGAGCAAGCACAGCAGGGGCAGATCAGTGCATCATTCCCCAGACAGCTTGATGTTGGGACTAGTGCACTGCTGAAATCAGCTCCTCTTCTTGCAGTCCTTAGAGACATAAAAATAGCTCCTGAGGTGAAGGGAGGCTCACAGGAGGCCCACCCTTTCAACTGGAAGATGTTACGTGAAGTTTAAAGAGAAAATGTTAAAAAACAAAACTCTTCCTGCTGTGGGGATAGATTGGAACTGGGGACATTGCTGTTATCCATAAACACTGACTTTTCTGGATGTTCTAGATTCTCTGCAGCTCAGGAAAGTAGGTACTATTTTTTTTCCTTTTTGATTTGCAAAACTTTCAAATTATTAAATGGTTCTTCTCTTTCTCTTTCTTTTTCTTTTCTTTTCTTCCCTTTCTTTTTAGGGACATTGCTGCCAGGAACTGCCTCCTTACCTGTCGAGGGCCTGGGAGAGTGGCTAAGATTGGAGACTTTGGAATGGCCCGGGATATATACAGGTAGCAGAGCCAAGCTCAGGGTACCTGCAAGTGGAAGGTCGCTGAAATGAGGGAGGAGCAGTGTTTATGCAGGCTCTTGTGCTGCTCTGTGTAAGCCTGGTGAGGCGAGAGTAGAGAGATCCCAGCCTGGTGAATCCCAGCTGATGCCTTCCTAGTGTTTGCCTTAAACTGTCCTGGAGACTTTTCCCAGTCCTGACAGTTTTCTCCTGGGCAGTGAAGTCTAATGATCATGGAAGGTGTTTTTCCTCCCTCTTTAGACTCTGTCTTCAGTTTCCTTGCTTTGCCTTCTCCACATTGAATGGCATTGATGTACCCTTTTGTTTTGTGATCCCAAATCATTCTGAGTTTAATCTCTCTCCTTGATGCTACCCCTGCACCTTTGGTTTGGAGTCATCAGTAAATCTCCTCAATTTACTGCAGCAGAAGGAGGAAGGTGCAGAAGAAGGTCAGGAAAATGTAATCACCCAAACTGGAATTCAGCCAGGACACAGGGTTAACTACCTCTGCTCTTGCAAGAAGTGCCAGAAACTCTTTAATAACCATAAGCAGTGAGGGCTGCAGTTTGATGTCTCATCTTCCATAGAGCACCTCTAGAAGTGCAGCTCCATATCCTGCTGTGCTGAGGAATTGATTTGCCCTGACTCGAGAGAAGGAATGCCTTGTGCTCAGTCACCCACACAGTTTATTCCGGTGCCTTGCCTTCTTTTTTTTCTGATTGGGGATTCTCCTGTGCAATTACTAAGCCAGGCTTGGCTCTGCTTAGCTTGAGCTCTGACAGCATCACAGCCTGAGGTGATGCAAACAGAGTGCTAGCTTTGAAAAACCCAGGTGTATCAGAGCTGCTTGGGTTTTTTCCCTCCACAAAGAGCCCCCATGCTGCCCACTGTCAGATGGGGCTCTGCTGGGACAAAGTAGCATCTGTCACCCTCACACAATCAGCAGAACTGACTGCCAAGATGAACACTTTGGTGCTGAGCTTTCAAAGGTGCCTTTGAAGCCTGCATATGTTTCTTTGTCCACGAATATCCTTTGGATGCTCAGGCTGTGCATTTATGATCACTGATACCAGCTTGCATGAGCAGCCTCCTGCAACTGCCAGGATGGGATTTGGGTCTTGCAGGTTTTATTTTAAATGACAGTCACTCTAAAGGACTGTCGTAACTCCTGTCTCAGGAACATTTCTGTGATACTATCGCAGCCTTAATGGCCTGGCATCCTCCTCAACAAGCTCCTTGTTCCTACAGAGGGGTTTGGATTTTACTCACAGTGCTTTAGACTGAGTATATGGGATAGGTTTGGTTTATTCTTGCTGGGTATGCCCAAGATGACCATGTATGAGATGAGGTGAGGAGATCTTGCTGTGGTTGAAGAGGGCAGGAAGAGGCTCTACCAGCAGCAGTTACTTTGTTAGTAATTCACTAGGAGGATGAGGATAACTGGTTTACCAGATCAGGCCTGGAGTGATGTAGATTAAACAGCACTTCCATGGTTTGTTCTTTTCCACTACTTTTATGAGAAGAAACAGGTCATTTCAGCACTTAGATTGTTCCACCTAAATTAGTCTCTCCTCTGGCTCATAATTTTAATATTTGTAATTACAAAAATCCGGTATTAATGGCATTTTCTGAATTCTTGGCTGATTCTTTTGCTTTGTTTGTTCTTTGCAGAGCCAGCTACTATCGTAAGGGTGGGTGTGCAATGTTGCCTGTCAAATGGATGCCTCCTGAGGCTTTCATGGAAGGGATATTTACATCAAAAACAGACACATGGTGCGCTTCCTTTCCTCCGCTGTCCGGTCTGTCTGTGTTGTAACCCCTTTTGTAAACTGTGAATATTTTCACACGTTCTTGTTCACTTCCCACTTACTAAAAAGACAAACTGGGTCTTTCAGAGCCAGCAGTGTTTGAGGAGACAAGGGATCAGAAAGGTCAGACCTGTGCAGAGGTGGGTGCTGCAGGGCAGGTGAGCGGGCAGGGAAGGTGCTGCTCCAGGGAGGAGAGCATTAGTCCCACACTGAGGAAAGCAGCATGGAAGGAAGGGTGTTGTACATTGGGAGTTTGCCTTTCTCCTGGCCTACAGCAGCACTTGGAGCTCTTGAGTGGCTAGAGATGGGGAGGAAAATTGGATGAGCAGGAGGCAAGAGCTCAGGGAGTGTGTGGAGGGGGAAGGGGCTGGTGGCCAGGACGCAGCTCCTGAGTGACAGGTGTGACCTGTGGGCCTCAGAGCACCAGTGGGGATTCACTAGCATTATATTTCATACAGGATAGCTATTCCAGAGGGAAAGCTTGATGTAACTCCTGTCTCCAGCAGTGGTCAGTATCTCAGAAAAGGATAACCTGACTTTCACGTTTGTTACCTCCAGCTGACCAGGGCTGAGTACAAGGGCAAAGCAACCATATTTGCCTACCTACATCATAGGCTTCACTCACCTAACAGTCAACTACTGGTATTTGGTAAAAGTTCTAAAGTTCACTGCTAACAACTGTGCAGCTTATTTATGTCTGAATCCTACTGCAGGATTCCCACCAGCTGCCTGATCAAAGGTTGCAAAAAGCAATGCTGATGGTACTGAACCTAAGGGCATTGCCCACTGGTGATGGTCATTCCAGTATCCCTCACTTTATTTTCCTTTGCTTCTGTATTCAGGTCCTTTGGTGTACTGCTGTGGGAGATATTCTCTTTGGGATACATGCCCTACCCCAGCAAAAGCAACCAGGAGGTTCTGGAGTTTGTCACCAATGGAGGAAGGATGGATCCACCTAAAAACTGCCCTGGCCCTGTGTATGAGACTATAACTTTGATATATTCATGCAATTAAGTTTCTGTTCCAAATGCTTTTTCTCTACTCAAAAGTTAATGACTTTTAAGGTTGACCTAATCATGGCTAATCTATGTTATTAAACTTCAGTGTCAGTGATTTCTCTAATATTTAATTTTTCTGTTATTTTGGAGAATAATTCACAGCCCATTTGAGAAGTCTTGGCCACTGCTTGTTTGGTCAAAGATGACACAATATTTCTCTGTCTTAGGTTAACTGTGAAACTTCAATGCATCAGACTGTTCACAGGAAGGGAAAATTGAGCTCCTTTATCTGTATCCCTGCCTATCTTTAGTGTATTATCCAAGGGATTTCAGGTGAATGAGTAATTTCTCTGAAAGACTGTGGATTTCACCCCACTGGTGGTCACATTCCAGTGGTTAGCAGTGCATGAGCTGTCCAACTCCAGGGAAGGCAGGGAGCTCTCATTTGTTAGAAGCAAGAATGGTGATGGATGCCTATGACTCCTAAGCTGCCATGAGTAGTTGTCACATCCCATGGGATCTGCTGTTCACGAATGTCTCCTGTTCTGCCCTTCCAGCTACCGCATTATGACCCAGTGTTGGCAGCACCAGCCTGAGGACCGGCCAAACTTCGCCATCATCCTGGAGAGGATTGAGTACTGCACTCAGGTATCAGTGTTCATTCACCTTGGATGACAGGGGTGGAGAGGGCTCTTCTTGAGGAGCTGTCTAGACAAGCTGGGACACAAGATGAGGAGGCAGCATTGCACTACTGCACTACTGCAGTCAGCAGTCCAGGGAGACTGATGTCAGCCTGGGACCCCTGGCTGGGATGTTTGCCTCATCAGGTGCTTGATCCTTCTTGTCTTTTGCTGCTGAAAGGCACCGGCTGGCACAGGCTTGCACAGCTTTACAAAGAGCACACCTGTAGCTCTGCTTCTGTTTATAGAGGCACAGATTCCAACAAGCAAAAGAGCAAAGACAGGCCAGCACCTGCACTGCTTTCACATGCCTCTTCCCAGCCACTCCATCCCAGTGTTTACCCTTAAGGCACAGTCAGCACTGGACAGAAATGGTCCCAGCTCAGAGCACCCTTTGCAGGTGTTTTCAGCAGCTGTTGGCAATGTTTTAATCTGACAGTGCTGGAGAAGGAGATGGCCAGGCTAAAGGACTGGGGATTCTTAGGCTGGGCAACAGTGAAAAGATGTGGCTGGCTTTCCAGAACAAAAAATTTTTTTCTGACCAGTTTAGCTTGTGAGGAGTAGAGCAGTTTGGAAAATGTTCTCCTGCCTGCATCAGCACAGGCTCCTTGTATGATCTCACGGTTGTTCACTTCAGTCGGTTTGCTTTCCCTTTCTATTTGGGAAGCTTGATCTGTTTTTTTATGTGTGTTTGGATCCTGAGATTGGGAGGCAATTTATTCTGCTGTCTGTAGCTTGCCATGGCATACAGTAATAAGTAAAGGTTGCCAGGATCACCACGTTTTCTCTCAGTTTAATTTTCAAAACTGCTTAAATAGCTCAGAACTGCAGTCTCTATGGATTTGGGCTTCAATGGGTCTGCCAGTATCGTCTTCACTCTGCATTCCCATTCCTCCCTTGTTGTGTGGAGACAATGCTTACATGGCTCCAACTTTCTCAATATTATCTGAGAGTGTTATGAGCTCTGAGATGATATAGATTCCAAAAAACATTCCCACAGGAAATTTTGCTGGACATAAAAAATGCTTTTCATTGGTTTTGTGCCTCTGCTGTTCTATGGTGAGTTTAGGGGTTACTTTCTTTTAAAGAGTTGGATTTTAAGGATATCCTGTTGCATCTCACACCTAACTGCACTTTGTCTGCATCCTCTCCTCATGGAATGAGGGCACTGGGTGGTGGGATGTGTTGAGATCACAGCATGGCAGCTGCTAGATGTGTCATTCAATGCCTGATGGCTGCAGACTTTGAGAAATTCCCGTTGTTCCCTTCGGCAGGATCCCGATGTCATCAACACCGCCTTGCCGGTAGAATACGGCCCATCGGCTGAGGAGGAGGAGAAGGTGGCCATGCGCCCTGACGATCCAGAAGGAATTCCCCCTCTCCTGGTATCAACACACCAAGACAGAAAGGATGATAAGCAAACCCTGCCATCTCCACCACCCCTGCCATCAGCTGTCACTGCTGGAAAATCTCTAGGGAAAGTGGGAGCCTTGGAACAGCCAGGGAAGCTGCAGTCGGCCACAGCGGGGGGACATATCAACATGGCCTATGCCCAGTCCAATCCCCCTTCCGAGCTTCACAAAAGCCGGGGCTCCAGAAACAAGCCCACCAATCTCTGGAATCCAACCTACGGTTCCTGGTTTGCGGAGAAGCAGGCCAGCAAAAACAGTTCTCTGCTGGAGAAGGAGAGGCCCGAGAGGGAGAATTTGGGACAGGAAGGAAACTGTACTGTGGGGCCCAACATTGTGACTGGCAGGCTGCCAGGCTCCTCCCTGCTCTTAGAGCCATCTTCCCTAACCGCAAGTGTTAAAGAAGTGCCTCTCTTTAGGCTCCGCCACTTCCCCTGTGGGAATGTCAACTACGGATACCAACAGCAGGGCTTACCCTTGGAAAACTCCACACCACCTTGCGCTAGCAGTTACGAGGACCCTGTCCTTAGAAACAAGAGCCACATAACCCAGCAGGGGCCCTGAGAGCCCTCGACCCTCTCTTGACTTTTCCCCCCCATGGCCCCTGAGCCTTGAAGAGATGTCCTGTTACCCAACACACCGCGAGCAAGGCGTCGGACAGCATCACCTCCTGTTTTGTGCAAACTTGCTCCAAAAGTGCCACCCTTGACGCTGTAATTTCTACTAACCCGAGAGGCTTCAAACCACCGGAGCCCCAGTAGAGTCAAAGGAACAAGGGGGAGGGAGGATGCAGGGAACAGCTGTTAACTGCAAGGCCCAGCTGCTGTTGCATCAACTCATCCGCATGGTTGTCGTCATGCCCTTCCTGTGAGCTTTTCCCAGTTGTGCGTCCTCTGCTTCTGTGTCAAGCTGCGGCTCACTGCCATGAGTGTTTCATGTCTGGGCTTTTCTGTGCCAAACTTGTCGTTGCTGTGGAAGACTTGAAGGTCTCCTGCTGCTGGCAGAGCTTGTAGTGAGTTTGGGAAGAGCGTCCTCTATCCAAGCCAAAAAACAATACGACAGAGCTGAATGGTGGCACGATGGCACATCCTCAAGTCTTGTTCCAGCTACAATCCAGTCGTCAAAAGTCCTTGAATGCACGGTGTTGTAGGGGTGCTGGCAGGGTAATGGAAAAACCCTGGTCACACTGCATCACTTGAAGGGGGCGGGAGAGGAAGCAGAGGATGGGTGTAGGTGATAGGAGGCATTCAGGGGGCGAGCATTGTTTGGTTGGGGTTTTCTCTGGTTTGTTTTTGTTTACCTATACTTAAGCACCAGAACCAAGTAAAGCCCTTTAAAATTCCTTCTGTCCTACAAAAGTAGGAATGTCCTTCATCAGGAACATGTGAATGTCAAGTGGAATCAAGGTGAAGCTTTAAAGGACCGTGGTCATGAGAGAGGCTTTCACCATGCTCTGAAAATGGACATCCACCTGCATACCTCGAAGGTTGGAAATAGACTTTGACATACCGTCTACGAACACCACCATAAAGGCAGAAGACTGCATCGTGCCACTGTCTGGAAGCCAGATACTGTCCGTATTGAAGGGTTTAGAACCCTCTTTCCTTTGACAAAATACATGTATGATAGTGGTTTAAGGACAAACACTCCATTGACTCACTTTGTACACCCCGTGCATGAAAAGTATTCCAGTTAAGTGTATTGTCAAAACATAGATGTAGGAAATAATTAATGTGTAAAGATGTGCATTAGTAACTTCAGCTTAGGGTTGGGAGGAGCTGTTTTAGCATGAACGCTATCCAAAAAAGGGGTGCTTATTTCCATAGAAATGGGAGTACTGGAGCATCAGCAAAGGAGTGGGAAGGTGTTCTTCAGTCTGAGACTCTTTGTTTCAGTGAAGTGACCCTGAGTCTGGCCCTGGATCCAAATGTTGAGGTAAGTTTCCTGTCTTTATAAGGGAACAAACCAGAATCCCTATATATCCTGAACTTTGGGATTGAAATTGGAGGACATGTCTTGGGCCGCCCCCCCCTTGTAAAAAACACATTGTGGGGGGACCACTAGTGTGCTTTCCTGATCTGCCTTTCTGATGTCATCTCTGATACACAAAACTAAATCCTTTTTTTAAACCAAAGCCAAAAGTAGATTTGGTGACTGGTTAACAGGCTGTGCTCCTGTGTTGGAAAGCTTGGATCAGGGGCTGCTCTGAATTTCACGTTCATCTGCTAGAGATCCATCCCACTGCTGCTGCATGGGTTAGGGGGGATACCAAGGGTTACACTTAGAGGTTTCTTTGGGTTCAGCTAAGAGGGTATTTGTCATCTCCAAGGTCATTAGGCTCGCAGCTCTTGCTGTGAAATAGCCACTGGGGAGGGATTCTGTCTAGCTTAGGACTCTGTTAGTGTTATACCAGTCTCTTTCTCTCTAGCTCAGTAAACCCAGTGGGGTAGTTTCTCAAGTCTCAAGAAAGCTGATTAATTCAGGAGGCAAGCACTATCTGAACAATGTATTATACTAGTACATTATTCACATATAGTAGCAATTTTCATTTAAGTATTCCAGCTTTCTCATAAGAGCTGAAGCTCCTCATTGCTTTCTTTAGTTTATCTTTGCACTCTGAGTTTTTGCTGCCTTACAAAGTTACTGAGGGCAGAAGCTGACCTGTTTACTGATGAGTGTTTTCAACAGAATGCACAAGAAAAAGAGTTGCTAAGTTAATGATCTTTGACTAGCTGAAATTATTCATTCTTGGATCTGGGGCAGCACCTTCGATGCTGCACAAATACAGATAAGCTGCCAGGTTATGATGTTAAAGGTGGAATTTCTAAAGAAACTTAAAAAGCACAAGCAGCAAGAGATGATTTTAAGTCTGTAGGTGTGAAAGGCAGAGAGTGTGGTTACTGCTCTGGGCTTGTGCTATGCAGTTATTTTATCATAGAATTTCTGCTGAAATACTCTTACAGAATGGGAGATGTAAAAAAATGAAGTTAAAAACGTTCCTGCTTCTTACCTATGGAATATGTCAAGAGATAATTGTGATGAGGGGAAATGGTGAATTACCACTGAAATTCTCCAGTCTGCTGAGTACAGTGCATTGAGACAAATACTGTTCAGCACTGGAAGCTGCTTTTAAGTGAACTTCTCCCTAGTGTCTCCAGTGCAAAATGCTTTGTTGTGGGTTCTTTAATCGTTTGGATTTTCTTGGTTGGTTGGAGTTTTGGGGTTTGTTTTTATTATTGAGGGGTTTTTTTAATCCCTCTCAACTCTTGGAATTCAGAAATCCACTATGGGCTTATTTTTTAATGTTAAAACCATACTGTTTCTGAGCTCTTCCACAGCAAGCATCCCTGTATGCTGTACCCCAGGTTCAAAAGCTGGTTGGTGCTAATCAAATCTTCTCATTTAGAAACAAGAGCTGGAACATTTGCCTGTCGTCTTTCTTAGAAAACAAATACTACCATTAATTGCTTGGACCAAAGGGTGCTCTGTTACTTGTGTTCAGGCTACAGTTGCCATGAGCATGAACCAGAAATTTTGATTTCTGTGTCTAGGACAATTCACCTGTTCAGTACTCAGAGCTGCTGGGACCAGAAGGGATTTAAATCACCATGGGCTCAGCAGACCAAAGCACTCTGTTAATCCCAAATTCCTCTATCAAACCCCTCCATGGCAGGAGAAAAACAGATTCAAGTTATTTTAACCCTCTTACCCATTTTTTTACTTATTTTTTAAATTAGTTTATTGACACACTGTATATTTTTAAGGAACTTGTTGTAAGACTGTTAATCTTTTGTGTTGGTAATAATGATGTTCTGATTTATGTCTTCCTCATTCTACAGTGGAAAAGCGGGAAGCAGTCTGATCTACAAGACGTAAAGCACAACTGGGAGAAACCCTGTGCTACCCCTCTTATGCTCTGGAAATGGCTTATTTCCATGTGGATGTTACCTGGTATCCTATAGAAGAGAAGTAGTTTCTGATTCTGTGAGCTGCTGGAGGTAACCTCGGTTCGGATGCCTGTCTCTCTACCTTTCCAGTTGTCCCATCATCTTCCCTTTGTGCCACTGAACCTTGTTTCTCCACCATGTGCCTGGGAATGAAGTGAGGGTGGTTCTGCTCCCCCGAGGCGCAGTGAGGGAGGGGGGTGGGAGAGGGGCTCGGCCACAGCGAGAGGAGGTGCAGGGGCCACAGGTGGGAAGCCTCAGAGCTGCGTTAATTCGGCTGAGTGGGTCTCGGACAGCGGTGCCAGACCGTGGGTGCTCCGGCTTCCCTGCACAGGCTCCACGGGAGCAGCCACAGCACGGCCCACGAGGGCTGGAACAGGGAATGACTGGTGCCACTTTGCATGTCTGCTCCTGGTACTGCGCCTGGCTTCTGGGGGATGAGAACCTTGACACGGGAATAGCATAAAACAGCCTTCCACAGCAGCAAAGACATAGCCATTCGTCTGTCCCAGAGGTAAACCCATCACAGTGTGTCCACATCTGGCTTCTTTTAGTACCGAGCTTCATTATAGGAGTGTCTGTCTCATGTACAGCCATTTATGCAACATTGTTTATAAAGGAAGGGCCTGTGCACTTCAGGGATACTATGAAGAAAAATACTAATATATGGTCATTGAGTATTTTGTATTGAATAGTGTATTTGTATTGTAAACAAGTGTAGTGAACCACGAGGCATGAAGACAAATAAAGTGACAGTAGCTGGATTTCTTCGTGTTGGGCTGTGCAATGATTGGATCAACATCAGGGGGAGGTCTCTGGACATCCATTTTTACTTGGCAAAGTTGCAGAAGTATTAAGGTGATGTGTAACAGTGGTGAGAGTTTTGCATCACTTAATTAGTGGTTTGTCTCAGTTTCTTCTGTCTTCACTCATAGCCAGGATTAAAAAATACACGAAGGAAACGGATATTTTTTCGTGTTCAGGCTTGGTTGTTTATTAAATCTTATCACAAAGTACAATGCGTTCAACAGCACTCCTAGCTACCTGCTAGAAGTGAGGGAAATGGAGGAAGATCTAGCTGCTACAAGGTCTCTTAAAGCTAAACAATCCAATAGAGAATTAACACCTATATTATTTATCCTTTTAACCCAATAACTAACTTCCCATGAGCCTCAGTGTGACACTGATTGACCAACCAGAAACTACTACCTGAAACCATGAAGAAGAAGGAAGAAGAAGGAAGATGAACACTGAAAGAGACACCACCCAAAATCCTCCACCTTGTCTCATTACTATACTATAAAAACCTCAAATTTAAAACCCTTCGCCATATGAAAGCACACACTTCTATTTCACTACACACCCGTGATTTTGACTTCATCACTCAAATTTAGAAGCCCTCTCCAAGGCCTCAGGTCAAAAGCAGTGTTCTCCAGGGGGTCAGTGCCAGAAAGCACAGAAAGCTTGAAAACCCCAGGTTTCTGGGATCCAACAGTGATGAACACCCTGAAGAGCAGGTTTGGTGGTACCCCGAGCCATTTTTGGGCTCGCAGCAGCTGTTCCAGACTTCTTTGCATTGCTGATGTTACACACCAAGTTTCTTCCAGGGGAAGGTGTCCT